CGATCCGTTGCCGGACACGGAAAAAGACAAAAAGACAAAAATAAAAAAAAAATATATATATATATTTTAAAAAATTTCTTTACTGGTATCTTAGTGTGGTTTTGGGAGGGAAAAAAATCTGGAGCATATGTTCAACTGCCACCTCTACCTAGAAGCACAGAACTGTTCACTTTTTGACAAATATTTATTGAGCATCCACTATGTGCTATGCACTGTGCCAAGATACACACAGGAATATTGAAATGGGAGATTATTAATCATTTTATCTAATCAACTATATTGAGTTTTCAAAAACTGAAATCTATGCCTCTCTAGGTTTGATGTTTTAGTGTTTGACAGTTTTTCCCCTTTTCTGGCTTCTGGATTTATCTTGATTTTGGTGTAAATGTATGTTTTTGAATACTGAAGGAAGAAAAGGCATTAGGTATAAGATGGAATGTAGCATTCACACAAGCCATCTAAATGACTTAAATATTGGATAAAAACGATACTAGCAAGGAGTAGGTAACTATCTTTATCTATCAACAGTCAGAGAGAAAAGACAACATCTCTGCAGGAAATCCTACAAAGGTGGGAGATTCTTGCTGGCTGATAGAAAAGAATGGGCAGAGTGGACTGTTGGTGATAGTAGAATGGGGCTTATGACGGAGTGAACAACTTGGCTTTTAGTTCATCAGTGATACGTGAACTGAATGTATTACTACTTATTAAACTCATTGTTACATAAAATTGTTCCCATTAGTATCAAGGGGATAACTGCTCTCCTGTGGAGTACAGAGCTTCCAGAGAGTCCATTAGCCATCAACCTTGGATCTAAGCAGATAATACTAGGAGGCCAGTCACCCCATCAAGATAGCAATTTATTAAACATCCATTTACCACTTGACTTGATTAGCTCTCTTCTTTCTCTCTCTCCAACCCTCTCTCCTTCTCCTCTGAGATTTCTAGAATATTTTTCTTCTAACCAAGGGGCCAAGGTCAAGTCACTCTCCCAAGGAAGCAAAAAGCCCATCGCTTTGGCTGCTTTTCCTTTTGATTATAAAAGTTTCTCTGGGAACTCAGGTCGCCCTGATAAAGCGTGTATGTGTGTGTGTTTGAGTATAGAGTGGAGGGCTCTTGGAAAGTAGATACTGAAACGATGCTGACAGGATTTCTGTGTCTGCTCACTTGTAGGCTACAGTGAATGGACAATGGACTCTAAAAGCTTTCAGATCATAATCGTTTTGAGGGCAGACTTTCTGTTCCAAAAGCATTTTCTATTCCATGGCTTGCATGTAAGAAATGTTTATTAAATATTTTTCAATATTGATTTATTGATATTGATTAATTTATAGTATAGAAACAGTCCTATTAACAGTGAATTTGTATTATTGGTGGTTCCTCTCCGAGCTTTTCAATAAAGTGTTCTGGCTCTATCTAGCAAGGTCAGCAAAGGCCCAGAAATGAATTATAAGTGATACAAAACTACACTTTTATATTCTTTTTGTCTTCCATATATGTCAGAGGTATTACAGAAAATTAATTTCATGTTATAATTTCAAGTTATGGATAGCCTTGATTCTAGCTCTCCTTTTTTGAGTCTACTATGCTCTTGGCACTATGTTAGAGGCATGGTATAGACAGATGCATGTCATCCCAAGCCTCAGGGAGTTCACAATCTAATGAGGAAAACAAAATATGAAATAAAGCTATATGAGGGTACTTCAAAAAGTTTGTAGAAAAATAGAATTAAAAGATTCTTACCATGAACGAATCTTTCCATGAACTTTTTGACGACCTCTCCTATGAGCCGTAATAGATATAAAAAAACTTCACCAGTCAGTCCCCCAAAGGAGTGAAGGAGCCCCCATGACTGAGGGTTTGGGCAGACAGCTATTTCTTCCTCTGAATTAGTTGTGTAAGAAGGATGAGAAGAAACTGGCTCTCCTTTCCTCTTGAAAACAGTCGGAATCCCTCAGATGGGATTATATGTCTCCTCTTTTCCCAAGATTTCTTTTTCAGTTTTACCACTGAGCCATAGAATTTTACCATGGGAATGGGGCCTTAAAATTTATCTAACAGACTTTCTATCTGATGTTTAGATCTTTGCTACAAAAAAAATGGTCATTGGGCCTGTATTGCTTAGAATACACTAGATTACAAATAACGGAAAATCCAAATCCCTTTGGTTTAATCAATGAAGGTAGACCTGGGTTCAGAAGCTGTTTGATTTGGAGACTCAAAAGATCAGATCTCTCTCTGCGTATCCTTTTTGGATGTCTGCTTTATTTTAACCTGGCCAAACCTTGTGTTTGGAAGATGGCTCTCCATGGTCAAGAGACTCCTTGTTCTTCCGAACACGTGCAGGAAGAAGGGGTTGCCTCTGAAGGTCTCTCAAATATGAAAGAAAAACTTTCCCAAAAGACCCCAACAAATTGCTCCTCTCATTGGCCCACACTGTGTCATGTCCATTGCCAACCAATAACTGTGGCAGGGAATGGGATTATGCTGATTTATTTAGGTTCGAATTATGCTAATTTGCTTAGATTGGAACCACATGCTACTGTCGGTAGCCAGGGCAGGGATGAGACTAACAGGCAGTGTTTACCAAGATAAGGGGGAGTGGATATTGGAGACACTAGGCTTCCACAGGATGTGGCATAAGGTCCAGGTGCAGCCATTACGATCCAATAGAAACCCCCACCCCAAATTACAATCGACTTCTCCCGCTGGACAGCTCCGACTTAATAAGCACAGTAATGGCATATTTGCAACTGAATCTACCTTCCAGTTGTCATCCAAGTTCGGGATACAATGGCTCCTTCTTGCCATGTTGTTGCCCTCAGACATTGGCTGCTTTCTTCAATTTGTTGCTTTGGATGTACCTTCCTTCAGTTTCTTCTGCTTGGGCCTTACTAGTCCTCACTGCACTCACTGACCCCACAAGAGTCAAAACACTGGCTGCTTTCAAGAAAACCTTCCTTCCATCCCGGAATCGAAGAAATTGAAGTTTAGGTATTTTGTCTTCTTTCTCTTCTGGCGCTTCTTCAGGTTAAGTTCAGAACGTGCGCACCAAGACAGTGATTGTGCGACAGAACCTTCCTGGGCCATCGCTGTTAAACGAAGGGACAAGCTTGATCCATTTCCAAGAATCGTCCCGCTGTGCAATTCGATGGCCCCTGAAAAGGATTCGGGTGAGAGGAGGTGACTATAGACGTGGAGGCTTGCGTGAGTTGAGTGTTTGAGAACCTGAAGCCCACCCTGCTTTGTGTGATTTGAGGGAGGTTCACCCTTTCTCCTGCATTCGGCTCAGCTCCGAATTTGACCAATCGCACCTACTCCAAGAGCAGCCGAGGTGGCAGGGTCTCTCCCCCACGCGCACAGCTTCCGCGCCGAGCGCAGCGCAGCGCCCCCAGGCCGGAGCCTCCGGGCCCAGCCAAGCGCGGCGGCCGGCGTCCAGCGCGGCTTGCTCGGGAACTGCAGCCTTCAGTGCTCCGCCGCCTCGGGCTGTGGGCCTTAGGCGACGGATCCAGATGCGTCCACAGCTGCGTCTCCGCCGCTCCGCTTCGGGGCCGAAACAGAGCGAGACCAGGGCGAGGAGGCGCCGCGGTGCCCGCCGCCCCGCTCCCAGGGGGCCCGGACGAGGCGTCCTCGGCCGGCGACCCTTCCCGACTTCCAGGGGTGTCTGCGCGCTTCTCCCGCCCCTCCCCGCTGGCGTCGACTCCGGTCCGCCTCACCCGACCGTGGGCTTTGTCCACCGGTCGCGCTGCGGCCCCCCCCCGTTCCCCCCCGCTCCTCCCCCCCCCCCCCCCCCCCCCCCCCCCCCCCCC